GTGCATATATATATATATATCTGTCTGTGTGTTTGTGTGCCCGCATCTGGAGCTTCTTCTTGCCCCTCCATCTTCTTTATTTACGTGTCTGCGTGCACATTTATGTATGCATCACTCCGAGGCCGTTGTGGCAAGTGGGGAGCGCGCGTGGCTGCTGAGGGACACACGGGGGAAACGCGCTAGACACAAGCGGGGATTAGAGCAAATCAAAAAAAGCAAGAAGCAAACAACACACACACACACATACGAGGGTGGGGGTGTTGCGATGAAGTTGTACGCCCTGATGGTTGCGAAGCCATTCCCGGCGGGGGNACACACACACACATACGAGGGTGGGGGTGTTGCGATGAAGTTGTACGCCCTGATGGTTGCGAAGCCATTCCCGGCGGGGGTAGAGAAGGAGCCTGTCATCTGCTCGCAGGCCATTGACGTCTCGTCCTTCGGCTTCTTCCAGCGCAACGCGGCGCGCGAGTTCATAGTCTTCCTCACCCGCACCGTGGCGAAGCGGGTGTCGAACGGCTCCAAGACGCAGATCACCGAGAACGGCAACGTTGTCTTTGCGCACTCCACGCTTGACGGCATTGTCGCGATTGCCATTGGCGATGTGGAGTACAACGCGCGTGTTGCCTTCACGTTGCTTGGCGAACTCGCCACCCAATTCCAGACCACCTTCCGCGGGAAGTATGACATCATTGACGGCAGGGACGACAACTTCCTCAACTGGCCCCACCTCGAGGAAACGCTGGTGAAGTATCAGAAGCCGGAGGAGCAGGACAAGATACTCAAGATTAAGCGGGATATTGAGGACACAAAGGTGATTATGTACAATGCGATAGACCAGATTATTGAGCGTGGTCAGAAAATCGATGATCTTGTCGCCCAGAGCGAGGACCTTGGCACAGCTAGTAAGACGTTCTACAAGCAGGCAAAGCAAACAAACTCTGGGTGCTGCTCCGTCATGTAATGGGGCCGCCCCTCCCTGGAAGTCTGTGTCCTGCGTGCTGGTTGGCACGTCGCGACCCGCCCCAGGTAAGACGATGGATGGTGTGAAAGCGGCAAGGCGTTGGGACTTCCCTCAGAAGGAAAAGGAAGAAAAAAAAACAAGGAAGGAGGAGGGGGGATGAAGAGATATTTCTATATAAAAAGAGAACGGTTCTGGGTGGATGTAGGCGGTATCACTAACAGTTGCACCCGCGCAACCCACAGCAGTTTTCCTCTCGTTGGTGTTTATTTCGTGTGCGAACAGCGCTGAGGGCCGCTGAAAAAGTGCCTTTGCTTTTTTTTTTAAAAAGAGAAATCTCTTCTGCTGTCTGTTCAGGCGGTCAAATAGAGCTGCGCCCCTTCTGTCCTTCTTTCGGCATCTCCCCTATGTCACCTTCGTTTTATGTCTCTTTCCTGCCCTCTCACTCATCTCCATCATTCCCGCATTCACACACACACACACACACACACACGCACAGGTATGCATGTTGAATAGCGTCTCTCATACATCAAGATGAGCTTGTTGGGGAAGGGGGGACGGTCTCGGAAGGGGCGGGCCGCTCTTCCTCTTACATTTGTTGCCGTGGTAATACTCGCCGTGCTACTACTGGTGCTTCTCTTACTACCATGGCGTGACACAAGACAGTTGGAAGATAGCGCGGAACTAGAAATCCGCCCAACCCTGCCCATCCTCAGTGCGCCTCGGGTGGAGTTGGGTCCGCCGTACGACCCGCTGCTGCAAGAAGAAATTCTGAACGTCATTCCAGACAACGTCACACACTTCATATCACCGGTTGGGCCGCGCGAGGGCCAGGAGTCACCACATTTTGATTATGGTGATGGACCATCTCGTTATCGCAACCCGTATCGCCCCATGCACCGCACCAAACGCCCCTGTGATGGCCGCCTTTATACAGACGGCAGGTGGGTGTATAACAGCAGTCGAAGGCCCTTGTACGAGTCTCGTGGAAAGGTATTGGGGTGCTGCGAGCACGGCTTCAGAAAAGAGTTCGGCATGGATGCTATTCGAAGGGAGACGCAGTACGAGTGGATACCAAACACGTGTGAATTATTCCCTTGGAATGAGGAACTCTTTTGTCGCTCCCTCCGCGGCCGCAGTGTCATGATGGTAGGTGACAGCCTTAGCGATCACTGGCATGCCTCGCTGTTCTATCTTCTTGGTGGGAAAGGTGATATTTATGAGCAAGAGGGAACTTCGCGTCAGCGGCATCGTTGTAGGGGTCATCCCATCTGCCAGAAGTATTATCCAGAGCGTGAGATGAATCCGATTCGGCTCCTGTTCCTCACCAACCAGTTCCTCGAAACGGGTTATCACGCCTTCCGAAACTTTTTGTGGTGGAAAGACATTCACCGCTACCCTATCCTCATCCTGAACTCCGGCTCCTGGATGGTGCGGCCAGAAAATGAGAGGCAGCACGTGTCGGACAGGCGTTATTATGCCCTTATGCGGCGAGCGGCCAGTATTATTCGTCGTCTTTACAAGGGTACTCTTATTTGGCGGACGAGCTTTCGTGGACATCCCTTTTGCTGGAAATATAGCAAGCCGCTCACGGTGCCGCTTCGGCCGGAAGAGTACAATGTTGGGATCTACAAGAGGTATCGATGGTACGCCATACCCGCGAGGAACGCCTACACAACAGCGCTCTGGAAGGACATGGGGGCACACATCCTCGATGTTGCACTCATGACAGACCTCATGCCACTTGGGCACATGGGTAAGTATCATCCCAAGTATGAGGTGATGAATGCGACAGATTGTTTGCATTACTGCTCCCCTGGCGCAACATATGATCAATGGAGTGTGCTGCTCATGAATCTTCTTTTGGGGAACATTGTGGATTAGCGGCCTTGTGGTGGTGCCAGTTTACTCGGTAGTGTTGTGTTGTTCTTATTTGTTCGTTTGGAAGGGGGAAAGAGTGATGTGCGATTCCGTCAGCCTTTGGTTATTGCTGTGTGGGGATTTCGCAGGATGATAAGAGCATTCCGGGTGGCTTGTCTGTCCTTTTCATTTTATGCTTTGTGTTGGGTTATTTTTGTTGTTATTATTATTATTATTATTTTTGTTTTACTTACCTTCTCACCGACACGCAAAAGAGTGCAGTGGCCTGTACAGAATACATTGGCCGACTCAGTTTTTATTCGGCTAAGTCGGTACACAGGAGGGAGGGGTGGAGAAAAGCGGGTGGGGGGGGTGTATGTTTGTGAGAGACTGAATAAGAAAGGAATAGTGAATGCTGCGGTCGAGGAGGGAAGCGGCAGGGATGCAGAAGCTGGAAGGGAGCACCTCTCCACATCTGCGAGGTGGCGTGACAGCGGCGAACTTGATGGAGCTACAGGAGGCTGCTTCGCAGCTTCGCTCGAAATATATGCAAAGGGAAACGGAAAACCAGAAACTGACCGGAGCACTCTGTGACTACGCAGCGCAGCTGGCTCAACTGCGCGCGAGCGAGATGCTTCTCCAGAAGAAGGTGTCACTGTGGTCCAGCTTTCACTGTCTTTTTGTCCAACCACTCTACGAGACGCGTCTTGCACTGGGGAGGTACCAGTGTGAGGAGCAGCAGCTGCTGATCCAGGAGTTGGTGCGGGACAGGGAGCGGACCGAATCCCTCTCCAGCGTGACAAGGGAGAAACACTCTCGTGAGAACGCAGCCTTGATGACGCGGGTGCGGAGGCTGCAGGAACAGCGGGATAAAGATGAAGAGCAGCTGGCGGCGGCAGCGGTGCAGCTGCGGAAAACTTGCAAAGATTGCCACACCGCGCAAAAGCAGGTAACAGTGCTGCGGAATGATCTTGCATTCTGCATGGACCGTCTGGAGGAGAGTGAGCGGGAACGTGCGCGATTGCAGCGTCACCTCTCTGAGCACCAAGCGGCCCTGGAGAAAAAACGGCCCGAGGTGGTTGGAGCAAAGCGGTATGAGGAGGAAATCCGCTCCCGAGATGACGTCATTGAGCAGCTCCGGCAGACTGTGCGGGACCTCAATACCCTCCTCGCGCAGAAATTATCGCTGGCCTCGTCGCCGGGGGTTGAGAAGGCAGGTGGTGGCAGAGGTGTGGCGCAGCAGAGGATGCTGCACGAGAAAGAACCACCTGTCAGCCCGCTGAGTTTGCGGTGCGATGGCTGCTCCTCGGAGAAACTGCACCGGAGCATTCAACGGCTGCGAGCACAGTTGGAGAATGAAGCGGACTCGCCCACGCACCACTGTCGCTTGACCACTCATGCCAACAGCCCAAACTCCCTCTCAGCAATGCCAACCACTTGCTCTCCATGGGAGGTGGAGCGGGGCAGTAGGATCAGTGTTGATTTGCAGGAATTCCTCGCGCAAGAGCTGCGGGATCCTTTACCCTAACGACTGTCTGGTTTCGCTTGATCTTTCATTTTTTTTTTCTTGTACTTTCGTTGGTTCGTTGGCTTCTCCGTTTAGATGCATAAGCTTCTGCCTCATCTCCTTTTTTTTCGTTTTGTTTGTTCCGCTCTCAAATAAATTCGGACAATTTTGTGAAGATCAATCTAGCACCTGCTTTGGGGAAAAATCAAACGCCACTTGGCTTGCCTCAAGGCAACGGAAATGCCTTGGCGAGGCCGAGTGGAAAACCCGTTAGCCGCAGGCGCTCGTGTCTCCCCCACGAGTGACTGCGGCGCTGCTATTCCATCCCACAGCCCGCTGTGGTTCGCACTGGAAAATGCCATTCGACCGTTCGGCTACAACTCCCTGGCAGACCTCGCCACGACTTCCCCACAAGACAGCTCGTCTGGGGAGACTTCGCAGGGCGTCTCCTCGTGTCCGCGGTGCGATTTGAATGAGGCCCTGCTGAAGGCCATAGCCAACGTGCTTCTGGTGGAGCTGAGTGGAGGGCAGGAGACACCGCCTGGTGGAGATGGGGCAAGTGGCTCCTCTTCTGGGATGGGGCGCTCACGCGGCGTTGTTGAGGTGCTCAACTGCTCCCCGCTGCAATCCTTCACCGGCAGTAACACAGGGGCCGCTGGCGCCGACGCTGCCATGCGCAGCGGACAGTCTCAGGCGGCAGGTTTCATCGCCTTGTCCCCTTCCTTCACGCTGGGGGTATCTAGTACATTTACCTCAACCTCTGGGAGCATGCACGCGAGCACGAGCTCATGGTTGCGGGACTTTCTTTCCCCGAAGTCGCCGTCAAAGGAAAAACAGTTCCCGCTGCGCAACATGGATAGTTTGCGTCAGAAACGTAGTATGTTACAATCCCCGCCGCTATCCGGGCCGACGAGGAGCCGGCTGCGAAGCCGCACATCGAGCATGACGACATCCATTAGTGAAGCAACGTCAGCCTGGCGGCGCACCACCACATACATTGGGCGCGGTGCCTCCTACTCCATGCTGACCTTCTCATCTCCAGAAGATATTCCACGCGTGAAGGAGACGGGTAAAACGGTGTTTGGTCGAAAAGACGACAAGCGGACAATTAATGATTATGTGGTGCTGCGCCGGATAGGTCAGGGTTCGCATAGTCGAGTTGCCTTGGTTCAGCACCGAGAGACAAAGGAATCCTACGCGATGAAAATTATGCGACTCGGTCCTAAGATCGAAGAACGACGAGTTAGGGCAATTCGTTCCGAGATTGCCGTGATGAAGACGGTGGCGCACCCCCACCTTGTGCGGCTCCATGAGGTAATTGGCGACAAAACACACAAAACAATCTTCTTGATTATGCAGTATATTTCTGGCGGTGGTGTTGCACGAGCTTTGTCTCCTGACAAAGTGGAGCCCATACCAGAAGAGCGGTTGCGTCGCTATACGAGACAGATACTCTCTGCTTTGAAGTATCTTCACTCGCATGGAATATTCCACCGAGACATCAAACCTGACAATATCCTAGTGGACGAAAAGGATAATGTGTTTCTTGCCGATTTTGGCGTTAGTGCAGTAAGCACTGGTCGCGGTGTCCCGGGTGTTGAAGGGACTCCAGCGTTCATGGCACCTGAGGTGTGCAGCGGCAAGCTGGAGGTGGTCGGGGAGCTCGTCGACGTATGGGCACTGGGCGTCACGCTCTATCAACTCATGTACGGCATCCTTCCGTTCCAGGCAATGACATACTTACAGATGACGCGTGAGATTGTGAATAGCCCTGTGCTTTTCCCCGACGAGATTCAAAAAAAAAGTCCACTTGTGTCTTCTACCATGCGCCCGAGCCTCGAAGAAATGGACTCTGTCCCTTCAGTCAACGAGGATACCGAGGATAGAAGCAGTAGCAGTGAGGATGAAGGTGATGCTTTTTTGCATTGTAGTGTCACATCCTCGAAAGAATTCAAGGAGCTGATTCGTGGTGTGCTCTCCAAGGACCCCGACAAACGGTGGACGTTGCGTCGCATCGGCGAGGCCGCGTGGCTGAAGGGCATACCCAAAATTAGCAATAAGCTGGTGGTGCAGCAAAAGACGCACGATCGGGGTCTGGCAGGCACCCGGACGCTCTGCAGGGCGCCCCTCTCCGTCAAGCCAGTCTTAACGCGCGCTCGGCAGATGTGCGGCGGGAAGGAAAAAAACGCCGCGGACCCGTCGAGGTCAGTGGGGAAGCGGCCTACTTTCAGACTTCAGCCGATGCCGACTCCGCCACGCAGTGACCTTTCTGCCAACGGCGTCGAGGGGGAAACAAAACCGGCCCCGCGCCAAATGACAACGTACGAAGCCCACCCACCTACTCGGGAGAGGTCATGGAAAAAAATTTTTGCATTTACATCCCGAGGGAAGAACAATGCATCAGCGCCGCGGTGATGATGATGATGATGATATGGCGATGCTGGATCCATCACTGAAGATAGAGTTGTGACTCTTCTTTCCCCACCTTCCCGGGATGAATAGTGATTTTGGTGCACTCAATGCTTCCCCGGTCGTCTTGGTGGGTCCGGTCTACAGGCGTCGTATTTCGCGTCAAATGGAGCAAGACGTAAAGAAGTTGGTGGAAAAGGTACATTGCATGAGATTCTTTTACTGTGTTTTTATTGGTCCTTGCTTTCGTTGGATTGCTCCTAAACATATTGCCTGTGCTGCAGCCACTCCTGTAATGGCTGCTTTCTCATCCCCCCCCCCCCCNCCCTCTTTCATTCTCCCTCTTGTTAACGACATTTTGGAATTTATGCATCTACCGTGTGCACAAGAGAAAACAGGGGAGCGAGGGTTGATGTAAAACTGTTTTTATTTCTTTGCGATGTGCAGTTTGCTACGCGGAGCAAAAAGAGTCTGTGCAGAGATGGCGGACACAAGCCTCAGAAGATATGGTGGTGTGTGTGTGTGTGTGTGCAAACATGGGAGAAACACATAAAAGAGAATATTGGGGAGAGGCGTGGTGTATTTATGGAAAGAAACATTCACATGTGTCGCGATCTATTTGGCGTTACGAGATACACACATCTGTCTACAGTTCTGCCGTCGAGGCTTATTCCTCGTGGTTGTTCTTTTTTTTTCGCTCTCCTATCTATTCTGTACCATCACTTTACACTGCTTGATCGCGTACGCTTCTAAGATGCGAGCGTTGTGTGTCCCGGTGTTGGTGGCAGCGTGGCTTTGCACTTGTCGTTATCTCCTTATTTATTTATTTTGTTTTTTGTTCCCCCGCCCTCCCCNTGATCAGTAGAAGAGAAATAAAACAAAAGCAATTGAAAGGAAGAAGCTGCTCCTTGCTGCCATGGGAATCGGCTACAAAAGCGAGGTGGGTGCTGTGTGTGCTGCGGGTGTCGCCGCTGTGTGTTTCACGCTAATGCCGCGTCAATATCTGGCGCTGGCGGTGCCGGTGTGGCTCGTCGCCCAGCGCCTCGTGGCGCGTGGGTCGCGGAATCGCTCTCGGCCGCCACACAAAGGGGACATATGCACCAACAACAGCAGCATTAACAGTGACCGTCCTGTATTCGTGCTGTCGCGTGATATGAAGGATGAAGAGCGGCCGGTCGCTGTCGTCACAGGGACGAACAGTGGTATCGGGTACCACACGGCCGTTGGGCTTGCGGTGGAGGGCTACCGTGTGGTGTGCACCTGCCGCAGTGCCGCTTTAAGTGAGGCCACGGCAGCAAGGATAAGCANTGCGGTGGAGGGCTACCGTGTGGTGTGCACCTGCCGCAGTGCCGCTTTAAGTGAGGCCACGGCAGCAAGGATAAGCAAGGAAGCTGAAGAAACGCGGCAGAGGCGCAATGGCGACGCCAATTACGCGCAGGTGCCTGAGAAAGTTTTGGTTGACGGTCGGTTTTGCCTCGAGTGCGATGACTTTGTGAGCATCCGCCGCTTCGTGGAAGAGTTCCAGAAGGCATACACGCGCCTTGATGTTCTTGTGAATAACGCCGGGATGATGCGCAAGCGGTTGGAATTCAGCAAGCACAACCCGCAACTAGAGCTTCACACTGCTGTGAACTTTCTTGGTCCGCTTCTGTTGACAGAGCTGCTCGTGCCGCTCATTCAGCGCAGCAAGGGGCGTGTGGTGTTCGTCTCCTCTGCCGCCCACCGATTCCCGCAAATGATGCTGGAGCGCGGTTGGTGGTGGCACCCGTCGTCGTCACTGACGTGCATCAACGGGCGCCTGTTGGAAGCGCTGAAGACGCTCAATCAGGGAGAGGACGCTTCGTCGGGGCCGCTCAGGACCGGGACACTGAGCTACGCCTTTGTGCGCTACGGCACAAGCAAGCTTCTGAATACCTACCATGCCCACTACATCGCCCGGCACCACAAGCTGCCTGTCTGCAGCCTCCACCCTGGTTGTGTCGGCACCAACTTCTCCAAGGACCTCGTGCCGAGTGGGTGGATCTACCGCGCCTACCAGTACGCCTGCCTACTCTTCCTCAAATCACCTGAGGAGGGGGCGCAGACAACGCTGCACTGTGCTATGTGTGATGTAGAAGAGCTAAAGCCTGTGGAGCCACCGAAGGGCCAGGGCGAGCCCGTCAGTCCGTACTTTGGGGAATGCGGCAACCAGACATCCGACTCGCTGCTGCGGTATGGCTGGGATGTCGAAGAGGGAGACCGCATTGTGCTTTGGGGCAAGCGACTGGTTGGGCTGCCGGTGAAGGAGGAATAATGAACAAGTCGTTATTTGAAATGGGGGAATGGAACAATGCTGTTAGTGTTGTTTCTCTCCAACACGATGGTGTTTTGTTTTTTCTTGTGTGTGTGTGCGCGCGCGAGGAGGGCAGCCACATTCGTACAGGGTATCGTTGGCGACCACCCTCTCTGAATAGATTTTTTTTCTTTTGCAGCCTTTCCCCAATCATGCTTTTCTCTTGTCATTTCACCGCAGCGTCTCTCTCTCTCTCTCTCTCACCATCATCTTCTTTTACGACGCAGAAGTGGACTGCAAGGTGGGCAGAGGGTCCCAGTCGCGCCGTGGCCTGTCAAATTGTGTGTGTGCGTCTGGGGAGGGAGGGAGGGAAGAAGGAGTGCTTTTTGGAGAATGAGTCTCTCACGGACTATTCGCAGCGAGACATGTGCCGCCTATCGCCGACTCCTCGGTGTGGTGCACACGGTGACCCGTGACTGCCCCCTGCATCAAACAGAGGGGCTCACGCGGTATGTCGCCGCTCGCTTCATCGACGCGGCGGAGCACAACCGACGACGGTACCTCAAGTTGCGTGAGGAAACCCTCCTACAGGGCCACAGGAAGAACCGGCGCCAACAACTACAGCAACAACAGCAGTTGAAGGCATTGGATGCTAAATTTGAACGGTTTATCGCGAAGGAGCTGCAAAAAGTGCGACAATTGTCGGAGGAGATCCTCCTCGCGCCGGGCAACCGCGCCCTTACCTCTATACTGCAGGTGCTCTCCGCTGGCGTCGGCAACACGCACTACCAGCAGACCATGGAGCAGAACTACGTGCAATACTGCCGCTTCGAGAGCCAGCGGGTGGAGCGGGACGAGGTGGATGAGATGGCCACCTCGGAGCGGCAGAACCGCATCATGCAGCATGCCCTCATTCCGTACGGTGAGCGGCTGCTCTTTATCCACCGCCTCGGAAGCACGAGCGACGGCGGTGAAGAACGCAGGCACAACACGCTGACGCCATGGCAGATGACAGAGGCCATCGTAGGTACCCGCAGCGGCGTCACGGCGCACCACATGTCGCACGGGAAGGAGGATGTAGTGCTGGAGGTCGACGAGACGTACAACAAGCAGATCGTCTACGTGCGGTGCGAGCCGTATGACTGGGGTCGCGAGGTGGAGCGAGTGGAGATCATGGAGGCGGAGGAGGTGCGTGGTACCGTCTTCCACGCGGAGTACCTCAGCGTCGCGCTGCGGCTGTGCGACGCCCTGCAGGCGGAGACACCGCTGCATGCCTACCGTGCCACTGTTGTCGTTGGGCACGGTGTAGGTGGCGCCGTGGCGTTCTGTATGGCGCTCCTGCTGCACGCGCGCGGCTTTGACGTGAAGAACTGTGTGACCTTTGGCGCCCCGAAGGCGGTGCAGCAGACTCTTGCGCGGTACGTGCATGCCATCAATCCTGTCCGCGTCGTGCTGGAGGGTGATCCACTGATTGATCTGCCGGTTACGGGGGCTGAGGGCGATTCCTTCGTCCACTATGGTGAGATCCTGATGATGGCCTCAGCCGCGCAGCCGAAACAGCAAGAGGCAGATGAAGTAGAGGAAGGCGGGCAGAACAACGCGGGTGATACAACTGCAAGTGACCCTCTCACCGCCGAGGCACTCGACGACCTTCTAGCACCAGACGCTTCACCACCGCAGCAGATGACAAACGTAGAAGGGGAAAAGAACCTGAAGGCTGCGCAGCAGGAGGCAATTACGGATGAAGAGGACATGGACGAAGACATGTCAGAGATGCTTCAGATGGCGGCACTGCGGTATGCAGCAGGCTTCCTGCCGGAGCACTACATTGAGCACTTCACTGATACGACGGTGCCGTTGACGTACGCAGAGGGTGACGAGGTCTGGGATGAAGGTGATTACGCGCAGATGAGGCGCGAGACACTGCGGCAGTTCCACGTGCCCGGTTCACAGCAATGGCGAGAGGATATAAAGAGTCCTTTGTAGTACTCTGCAGGGGGTGGGGGAGCGTGTGATCACAGAGGCTTCAGCAACACAACAACAAGAAACATGATATTGTGTATACAGTCTACGCATTCGTGAGGGCGCTTGGTCTCTCCTCATGCCTGAAAACTTTGATTTCTTCTTTATTTTGTTTTCTCTCTCTCTCTCTCTTTCTCTCCCACTAACTCTTCTTGTCATTGTTGCACGCATTAGCGAGGGAGTGAGGCGACGGTTGGGGCCTGTATTGTTATCGTTATTGCTCTTGCCGCGGATGATTCACCTCGTCTCCTCAGAGGCGCTCGCGGCGCTGGTGTGCCTGCTATTCATCGCCGCCGCCGCCGCCGCCCACTTGCTGCGCTGGTCGTGGTGGTGCGGCATGACGGAGCTGGACACACTCATTGCCATTGCAAGCTGCTGCTTCGCGTGCCGCGGGATGGCGGCGGGGCGGCGCTGCAAGTGGCCGCGCGATGTCGACTTCACGTCACGCGTGGCGATCGTCACGGGAGCGTCGTCTGGCGTCGGCTTCGGCGTCGCGCAGGAACTCGCACAGCACGGCTGGACCGTCATCCTGGCGGGGCGCGACCTGATGCGGCTGCTGGGGGCGAAGCGCGCTATACTGACGCGGCGTCCGCAGGGTCGTGTCGTCGTGCTCGGCGCCGTCGACCTCTCGGACCTCAGCAGCGTGCGGGAGTTCGCTGCGTGTGTTGTGGAGCAGAAGCAGAAGTTCCCCGTGGCACTGCTGGTGAATGCCGCCGGCGTGCTGCGCCGCCACCTGCACCGCTGCGAGGGCACCGGCATGGAAGAGATGATCGCCACAAATGTGGTGGGCCCCATGCTGCTCACGCAGCTGCTGCTACCGCTGCTCGATGAAACAGCGGAGCGCAGCGGTGTGTCGTCGCGCATCATCAACGTCGCCTCGAGCTGCCACACGTTTCTCGGCGTCTGGCAGCGATGCACACCCATTGATATGCTCACCGCCCTCCACCCCGCACCGACAGCAGGGGGCGACGAAGATGGCAGCAACAATAACAAGGATGACAAGAATAACAGTGGCAGTGGCAACAGCAAGGATGCAACACAAGAGGGGCATCCCCAACCGGCAGTAAAGGACTTCACCTTTGCTGACTTTGTAGGCTACTATGGACTGTCCAAGCTGTGTGTCGTGTGGTGGACCACCGTCCTCGCGCGACGCCTCAGTCTTCGTTTCTTTCATACTGGCAACTGCCATCAGCTGCGGGTGTTCGTCGCGTGCTGTCACCCCGGTGTGATTACAACGCACCTGTACCGCGATCTCCTGCCGTGGCCGGTGCTTGACCACATTGTATACTACCCGTCGTTGCTCATTGGCAAGACGTGGACGGAGGGCGCACAGGCGGTGCTGAAAGCATGCGTCGAGCCCGACAACATGGTGCACGGTGGCTACTATCTCTGCAGCGGCGAGTACGGCCCCAGCAGTGGTGTCAACTGCCTCTCCAAGTACGCCATGAACATGGAGATGGCGCTGCAGTTTTGCGCGTGGGCAGAAGTGCAGATTGAGCAACAAAAGAATTTACCAAAGCAACAAAAGGCAGTAGATGCTGCCGCAACGGCGCATCCGAAGAGGATCATGACCGTCAAGATCGCCAGGCAGTCATGATGGTGGTGGGACTGATAATAATGATGGTAGGGTGGTAATAATAATAAAACTCACAAGGAGGAGCCGGCAGGGGCGTGCTGTATTCCTTTGTTGTTCTCGTTGGTATTGTTATGCCTGCCACTTCTACTGCTGCCGCTGCTAGAATCAGGTGTACCCCCACGCTGTCATGCACACGTACGCTTACACGCATGTGCTTATTCTTATCCTCATCATTATCGCACTTTGATTTCTTTTCCCTTCTTTTCACTCATCCACCCATATTCTTCTACATATAGGGAGCAATGTCGACGCCGACGCCTGCGATGAAGCACCGGAGGCTTGAGGACCAAGAGACATTCGTCCCACCTCTGTTTCACATGCCTGTGCGGCCCCCGGCTAACGGCTTCCCATGCGAAACAGACATCGTCATCGCAGGGGCCGCCAAAAACAGCAGTAGTGGGAACAAGGGCATTGACAGCAAGGCGCTTCTACTGAATGCCTCGCCCACGCTGGAGTTCCCAGCAGAGGATGCAGCAGCGCTTCTTACAGCGCTGCGGCAGCACCCAAAGTGTGCGGAAATACGTGAGCAGCTCGAAGGCATCAACGAGGCGTACATTGAGAGTATATTCGGTGAGGAGGACGCCCGAGAGGACGACACGCGCCGGCGTGTGGATTACAACAGTGCATGCGCTGTTCTCAAGTCGAATTCGTCAAAGAGGCTTTCCATATGTGTTTCGTGCCTCACGCGTGGCCAGCACCGGCACTACCGCTCGTGGATGATCACGTACATGCAAACAGGCGTGCTACCGAAGGCAACAGAGGATTACCCCGATATGAGCACCGTGCTCGACCTTGTCCAGCGCGAGCAGACGGCGTATCTGCACAAATTCATGGAGGAGACCATCTCGTGTGAGGCGTGCAAGCTGGAGGCCGGATACAACAAACGGTCCCTGGGGGCGGGCGAAGCATCGGCGTCGCACCGGGCCTGCTGGAACCACAACTACTTGGACGAACATGTGGAGCGTTTCGCGAAGCGCTGGTGGCGGTACCGGCTTGAATCGCAGGTACAGCTGTGCCTTCTGGATGCAGAAGGAAACGAGAGCAGAAACGACAAGAGCAAGAACGATACAGTACGCGAGGTTGTATGGGACTTGAAGAAAACTGCGGCCTCAGCGGAGGGAATGCCGCTGGCTACACTCACTCCTCGCACACGTCAGTTGGCTACCCGACGTGTCGCCGACACCATCGCACTGCGCGAGTCGTTGGGGAGGTCGCGTGTGCTGCCGGCCGTCGCGATTCCACCGTCTCTGCCGCTGCCGGTGCAGCAGCTCGATGAGCGCGAGCCAAAGCTGCATCCCACCACCCACACCGAGCAGCAGCACCACGAGGAAGAAGGTGTGGAGAAAGAGGAGCGGCCACCGGTGCATCCTGTCAAAACGGTGCCGGGCGTGTCATTCACTGTCCGTGTGTGCAAGTCAGCGCTGCTGGAGTTGGCGACGGCACACCTGTCGTCATGCCGCGCGGGATTCCGCCTGCCGCTGCGCTGCACGTGGCACCCAGAGGAGCGGCGGCTGCACATTTGCTTCGACAAGCCGCTGCCGGCTGGCCGCGAGTCTCGGCGTAATATAAGTGCGTCGGCGCTGAAGCGTCTGGTGGACAGCGATCCGCATCTCCCGTCGAACGGCCGCTGCAGCGTGATGGGCCGTGGCGAGAGCAGGTGCTACGCGGATGTGTCGTTTGGCAAAGACATCTCCATTCAGTGTGTGGCAAACTGCGCCTACGACATCAACGGTCACAACCCTGTCTTCCGGATGGTGAAGATAGAGTACAACTGCAAAGGNCAGTGTGTGGCAAACTGCGCCTACGACATCAACGGTCACAACCCTGTCTTCCGGATGGTGAAGATAGAGTACAACTGCAAAGGCTACAACACCGTCCCCGACGATGAGAAGACATTCCACTACGAGAGCTTTAGTAAGCGGGAGGTGGTGCGGATGTGGGTGCTTCTTCACTGCTATCCCACTGCCATACTGTATGTCTACCGTGTCAACGCGTACTCGAATGCCGTGATTGGAATCGAGCAATTCTCCGCTGTGTCCTTTATGAGCCAGGTGATGGGGCTATGGTCGAGCGACGCGGAGGTGCAGCGCACGTGGAGTTCGCTTCACGACGTACTGGAGAATGTTGTGTCTGCCGTCGTACGGCAAAAGCTTCCGTTGTTGGAACAACCTGATGGTGCGGGTAACTTCACCTTCATACTCTCCAAAGAGTTGGGTGACGGCAGTTTAAGTCTTTGCTCTGTGCGAGCCTGCTACCCGCAGCTGCAGCTAGACGAGACGGTAACGTCCTTTATTGAGCCGAGCAGCCGGGCGGTGTGCCGGCGTGAATACCTGCCGCCGTGTGTGTGGCCCTTTCACGACCGCATTCCCTACACATACGCCCCGGCCCCCAAGACGTGTTACGTCATCAACCGCACGACGGAGACGCGACACGAGTCCGCGTATTATGCCAAGCACGACGTATGGCACCATGAGTCACGTTACTACACGGTCGGGGAGGACGGCATCGTGCGCGAGCGGCTNGAGCCGTAGCGGCATACCACTTGCGTCAGAGTGGCAGCAGCGGAAGAAGAGGAAGAAGACAGAAACAGCGATGACGGCAAAGGATGAGTAATTCTGTAGGCGGTGTCTCATTTGTTTTCTCTGCGCCGTATACCTGCCCATGTACAACATTTTAAAAAAACTCTTACTCTCCGATGTAAACGCTCCTCTGTGCAACGCCCATTTTCTGTTTTCTCTCTTTTTTTTTCTTTGTTCGTCATTCTTTTATCTCTGCAGGAGGTTGGGAGTTGTTGCCGTGCGAGGGGCGGCGAATGTACTCCGAGCGCGGCCTGCCCTCCGTCGCGCCACCGCCGCTCTTCCCGCTTGAGTCGCGCCGGCTCTTCCCGAGGCAGCTCGCAGCGGCCGGTGGGGGGTGCGTGCCCGACACGGTGACGCTGCAGCAGCACCTTGAGGCGGG